TCCATTTACCTGGTTTTTTTTTAAAGATTTTATTTATTTATTTGACAGAGAGAGAGACAGCGAGAGAGGGAACACAAGCAGGGGGAGTGGGAGAGGGAAGAGCAGGCTTCCTGCCGAGCAGGGAGCCCGATGCGTGGCTGGATCCCAGGACCCTGAGATCATGACATGAGCTGAAGGCAGACGCTTAACCGACTGAGCCACCCAGGCGACCCCATTTACCTGTTGATATACATTTGGGTCACTTATAATTTTTAGCTTTATGAAAGTTTCTGTGAACATACTCCTTTTGTGAAATTTTTTTGTGGTAAAATATGTATATCAAAATTTGCCATTTTAACCATTTTAAATGTACAATTCATTGGTGTTGATCACATTTAAAATATTGTACAACCGTTGCCACTATATATTTCCAAAAAATTTTATCACCCCAAATAGAAACTGTGTAATCATTAAGCAATAACTTCCTCATTTCCCCTCCCCTAGTCCCTGGTAACGTTAATCTTCTTTCCTTCCCTATGAATTTGTCTATTTGAGGTAGTTCATGTAAGTGGCATCACACAATATTTATCTTTTTGTGTCTGGTTTATTTTACTCAGAATAATGCTTTCTAGTTTCATCCATGTTGTAGCATGTGTCAGAACTTTGTTTCTTTTTAAGGCTGAATAATATTCCATTGTATGTATATACTGCATTTCATTAATCCGTTCATCTGTCGATACACACATGGGTTTTTTCTGCTTTTGTCTGTTGTGAATAATGCTGCCATGAACATTGATGTACAAATATCTGTTTGAATCCCTGTTTTCAATTCTTTTGAGTATATATCTAGGAGTGTAATTGCTGGATCATATATGTGTGAACATTCGTGTGTAGTCTTTATATGTACATACGTTTTCATTTAGTGTGGGTAAAAAGGCAGATGCGGCATCACTGGGTCATAGGGCAGGTGAGGCTTAACTCCATGAAAAGCTGTCATCCCAAGTTTCAGAGTGATTGACCACTTTATACTCCTGCCAACAATGTCAGAAAGAGCAGCTGTTGCACATCCTCCCCAAATATTTGGTGTTTGCTTTTGTACACCCACCCCCCAACCATGTGCCAAAGCAATTCAATAGGAAAAGGAAAATCTTCAACAAATTGATCTGAAACTGGGTAACCTCAACCTAGCTCACTTGAGATGAATCATAGACCTAAATGTCAAAGTTAGAAACTATAAAACCTAGAAAAAAACCAGAGGATATCTTTATGGCCTTGGAGAAAGCCAAGATTCCTTGAAGAAGATACACAAAGCAGTAAGCTTCACACAGGAAATCCTGGAGGGCCTGGGCTTGACTTGCCATCCATGGGACCCCACGAGTTGGGAGAAGGTAGGACCTTCCCAGGTGCTCTTCAGTGGGAACCCAGACACCTGCGTGGAGGCTTGTGACTAACGACGTGAACCTCGTCCTATGCCCCTCAACTCCCCAGGCAAGAACATACTGGAATATCTCGTCTTACCACATACCCACAACAAATGTGAGTCACCCTCCAGAGGCTTTTCCGCTTCATTAATGTGGTCTTCACACATTAGACCAAGGTCCTTCCTTCCATGTGATTAGAGTACAGGGGGCCTGCTGAGAGCAGGGGGAGGCAATGCTGGAGCTGGCTGGGAGAGGGGTGGCAGCCCCACACCGGACACCTAGATAGAGGGGCAGCGTGGGATGGGGGAGAACCCGGACTTTGGAGTCAGCCAAGCCTGGATTCAGCAGAGGCAACTCTGCCCTGGAGCGGCCCACATATAGCGGCACACATGCAACACCTCAACGGAATTTTTCACAGACAAGCTCCTTCTCCTATCTTTCCTGCTTCACAACCAGTCCCTCAGCTTCCCAGGCTGGAAATATGGTGAAACTTCGGCCTCCTCTCTCCTCTCTTTCCTGTGTCCGATTACATACAAAGTATTATCAGGTCTTCCTTCCAAAGGCCTTTGAGCAAGAAGTCCTCCTGTAGCCCATACTGCTGTGGCCTCCTTGATTCCCATTCTTCTCATCCTTCCTGGCAGCAGCCCTATGCAGCCCTATTTTGTTCAAAGTGACAGCAAAAGTCCTGTAGAAGGCTTTCTTCCTTATAGCCCTTGGCAGCTGGGGTTGCAACTGAGACCTACGCATGAGATGGAAGCAGAAGTTTTCTGGGAAAGGTTTGCTTTTCTTAAATAGGTGCCACCCCTTCCTGCTTCACTCTTTCCATTTTTCTACCTGGGATGAGGCTCTGAGCCCTGGACGAGCTTCGGCAGCCATCTTGAGATCATGAGGCACCCTATTTCTATTACTCACCTAGACCATTGCAGAAGCCATCACAGGGCTTTCCCCAGCTTCTGCTGTGCCAGTGAAAGCATCGTAGTGGACATATGAGTCCCAGAATCAAAGGACTCCAGTTATAGCTCATCCCTAAAGTAGAACCTTAAGCCACCAGTGGAAATGATGAGGGAAATCTACATAGATTGACCTGGAAGGATGCTCATGATATTTTGTTGAATTAAAAAAGCTGTTTACAAATAGTTTTTTATGGTATATAGTTATACATAAACATATGCATTTAAAAGTGTAAATGGATAGTCCTGTAAACCTACAACAGGCTTACTATATTTGCTTGATGAACTTGTATTTGAATTTTCTTATCTGATTAAAATATTTTTTAATAAAAAATAGGAATAGGAGACAAAAGTACTTAAAATGCTGAAATTCCATGCTCCTCAGTCTGGCATCGGTGATGTCCACAATGGGCAGGAATAAAGATGGGGTGTGTGTGTGTGTGCATGTGGCAAGTGTGCAGTCAATGTGTGTGAGTGTGCGGTCTGACACTTAGTGTGTGAGTACTTTGCAGAGCGTGTGAGTCACTGTGAGTGAAGCATGTGATGTGAGTGAGCGTGTGGGTGTGTCTGCCCTGCTGGGGTTGGAGAGAAGAGCCAGAAGGATTCAGGGCTCCCCACGTTTCTCAACTCAGTCTGATCCATCCCGGGGTGCAGCAAACCTACTTGGCCCACTCTCCACTCTGCCCACCTTGGAGCAGGAAAGGAAGTGAGAGTGAGGAGGACCTCAGTCTGACCGTCTGGGGAGGGACCTGGCTGTCTGTCCTTTCGTTTTTTAGTCTCCATGACAGCTACCCCTCAGGCTGTGTTGGCTACTAAGCCAACACCCTCCTGCTCACACATCCTGAGACGGTGACCAGGTCAGCTAGTGTCTCAGAAGCCCTCTCAGAGCTCCTGGGCCAAAAGGCTTTGTGGCCAATGATGTTCGGAAAGGCTGAGAAATTGGGGATACACCAGAGATGCTGGCATGTCAAGGGTGCTGAGAAGTCCCCTGGGGAGGAGGCCTGTGGCACTTTCCTAGCAGGGCGTTTCCTCCTGAGGACAGGAACCCCCTCCCAGGCCCCTCCACAGCACCTGCTATCCTCCCACAGTAGCAGTGCTCACGGAAGCCAGCTTGGGGGATGCTGACCCAGGACGCCAGCCTACCTCAGCCAGCACAGCGCAGGGTGTAAGCTTCTCAGGCACAAAGACAGGCCACATGGGAGCCCTATGAGCAGGTGACACTACACCCCCTTCACAGATAAGGGAACTGAGGCTCCAAGAGATGGGGAATCTTGCTCAGGTGCCCCTACCTTGTCAGAGGTCTGCTTGCCTAGGACCCCACCCTCTTTCCTTCCCAGCAGAGGCTGAGTGGAGAGCAGGGCTATGAATGGGCTCAGAGAAGACAGAATAATTTAGAGAAAAAGACCGGGCTGATCCTTGGCCCTCAGCCCATGATGGGATTTCCAGGCCGTGGGATGGGGTGGAGTAGTTAGAGCGAATACTGAGGGGGGATGGAGGCCTGGGAGGTGCTGAGGGGACCGTGCCAGCTGGTCCTGGCTGGGTGGCTCTGCCATCTCGGCAGCTGGGAGTGAAAGATCCCAAAGGAGGTGGGAGGCGAGTTTTCGGCCCGGCAGTGTGGCCAGCAGCCCACAGGACTGAGGTCAGGCCCCCTGCTCTCTGCACCCAGTCTCCTCCTCTGAGCGTGAAGGGGGAGGGTGAAGGGTGCCAGACAAAAGATGGGATGCACAGGTTAATGTGAGTGTCAGGTAAACAGTGCACACAGTTTAGTATGAGTATATTCCACGTAGTGTTTGGGACCTACTTACACGAAACAATTCTTCATGATTTATCTGACTCTGGATGCTAACTGGGCAGCCTGTATGTCTACTACAGACGAGGGCCAGTGACCTTCATGCACAGATGAGGAGTCAGAGCCCCGGGGAGCTGGGACTAGATCCCTGGCCAGGGATCCCTTCCTTCCCACGGGCTATCTCTCCCTGTGGACCAGGTCACTGACAGGCGGGGCTGAACCTGGCTCTGAAGGAAAAACCCGCCTCCATGGTGATGGCCAGAAGGCTGGTGAGGTGCTGGGGACCCAAGGAGTCGGCAGTGCTCATGCTTGGGGTTCACCACCCTGAGGAAGCAGGGCTGGAAGGAGCCATCAGCTTCCACGCTGAGCCACCTGCCTCTAAATCCGGCAGAATCTGGTAGTGCCCGTGGGCTGCAATGGCTGGGGGAGAGCAGGGGTCCGGGAGATGGCTGGTGGAGGGACCCCAGCTTAGCCCCCTGGGAGAGGGGGGAGAAGAGAGGGAGGGGGTGGGATGATCCATGGCCAAGGGCCCTACCTGAGCCCTGAGGCGCAGGGATTGCTCTTCCATTAGCACATCCCGGGCAGGGTGGGGGCATCATGGCGGCTCCTGCCCTCCAGTTACTCCCCACCACTCAGCTCAGAAAGTTCTAGCAATGTGTGTGGGGGGAAGTGGAAGACAGTGTGGAACCTCAGAGGAACCCCTCCCCCCATACTTCTCCACAAACTGGTGTTGGGGTTTGCGGTAAACCCAGTGACCTGGGGAGGCGGCCTACACGAGGAGCAGGACCCAGCAAGGTCACGATGTGAGGTGGCCAGCCTGCATAAAGGGGGTGTGGAGGGTGTCTCAGCAGCTGCCCCACCATGACCTCCTGGGCCCTCCTGCTCCTCGCCTCGGTGCTCCTGGCCACCCCAGGTAAGGATGTTGCCCATGGAGATCCTGGCAACTCCTCCTTAGCTGAGGGTAGGGACAGTTCTGGAGAGTGGGCTGGACTGGACCACCTGACTGGAATTCTCCGGGGAAGGCAAAAGAAAAAGGAAAAAGAAAGATCTCAGAGAGGAGATGAGGGAAGGTTTCTTTTAGGTCTAATCTGTGTTGTGTGTGTGTGTGTGTGTATTTGGGAGAGGGAAAGAGAGAGAGAGAGAGAGAGAATAGAGACACAGAGACAGACAGAGACAGAGACAGAAAAGGGGTTCATGGATGATGGTAGGGGGAGGTATAATCTTTTTCTTCCTGTTTTCCAGAAAGAACCAGAGAGTATGTCTTTGGCACAGAGACTGGGTCAGAGCAGTGCCAGGGCAGAGTGTGAGGAGGGGCTTCCTGGACTCCTCACAAAGCCCTACCCCTGTCCTGGGCTCTGGCCACCTCCTGGGCTCCCCACCAGCCAGGAGATCTGACTTTCCCTCTCCTTCCACCTGTGGAGGGATGCTGATGTTGTTTCTTCCCCAGGGCTGACCTTTTCTGGTCTGTCCCTTGAGGACCATGACCTGTCCATGGCTGACATGTATGAGGAGGAGCAGTTCTTCGAGATCCTGGCCGAGGACGCCTCCAAGGTTGGCAGCTGGCTCCCTGCTCACCTCCCACAGCACTCCCCCCAGCCCCCCGTCGCCTCTCCACCTGGGTCTCCTCCCTGGGAGCACCAGGCAGGGCAGCACTTCTATGCTGGTGGGAGGCGAGGCAGGGCTGTGGACTGAAGATGCTGATTTTGTGCACACCCCTGCCTGGGTGGGGGCCATGTTGGTCTGGCTGGGCTCTCCCCAGCAGGGTCCTCCAGGGTCTGACCAGACAACAGAAGAGGGGCAGGTGCTGAGCTGGGTAAGGGGCCGTGGGTGTGGGGCAGGGTCTGGAGTGTGTCAGCCCCACCAAGACTAGCAGGAGGGTGGCAGGGGCCAGCCAGCCTGCTTCAGGCCCTAAAGGACAGAAAGATCATAGATGATACTGCTGGCTTAGGAGGCATGCAAGAGCCTCTTCCTGGGGTCCTGCCAAGGGCTGTTGGGGGTGTCTGAGAGATCACCTTAGGGGGCATCATTTTCTGACAGGGGGACCAGATGATCTTCTTCTGTAAGTCTTGCAAGTTTATAATCAAGAGGCTGAGAAAAATCCTGGGACACAATATCACGCAGGTGAGGCCTTATGGTTTGGGGAGCCATCTGCAGGGTGGTCAAGGGCATGAGTGGGGATTCAGGGGGTGGGGGCAGCGCTGAGGGAGGGGCTGATCCCTGGTTGGGCCAGAGCTTCTCAGCAAGGGATCTGTGTCTGGGGACTGACTTCAGAGAATCCCCTAAGATGGTGGAACTCTGGGCGCATGAATGTGGGAAGAAGAGTGTGCCTGGTTTCCCTTCCACTGTTAAAGGAAACTCGTCCCCAGAGAAGGTAGGAAGCTTTCCCCTGTGGCCCCGCTGCGTGTGTCCTCAGCAGAGCTTTGTGAGGCGGGTTCCAGGGGGCCCTGGGTCAGGACTGATCAACCCCAGATCTGTCACTTCCTAGCTGCATGGCTGGGCCCAGTCTTCATGCTTTCTGAACCTGTTTCCTCCCTGAAGAATGAGATGGATAATAATCCCGATCTTGCAAGTTGCCTAAGCCTTTTAAAAGAGCTGCAGGTGTGGGACATGCTTAGCTCCCTGTCAGGCCCTGAGCAAGTGCTGAACAAGGGGATGTGTTACTACCAAAAAGCTTTGTTTCACCCTCCCCCGCCTCCTTTGTTCCCTGATCCTGCTCAGCCCACCCTCAGCCCTGGGTGCTCAGCTGTATCCTTCTCCATTGGGATGATAGTAGCAGACACTTCAACATCAAACGTGCCAAGGCTCCACGCTCTCTCTTACCCTAACCTTCCTGACACAGCCCTGAGCATGAGCCCTGCCAGGTCTGGGACCCAGGAAGCTTGGCAGGCAGAACCTTCAGTGTGGGTCTAGCAGCAAAGGGCCCTGTTCTCCACATGGAAGGCAGGGGGCTGGGGTGATGATGTGCAGGGGACTGAGACACAACAGGGCCAGCTGTCTTTCTCTCAGCAGCCCCTCGTGGCCAGGCTTGGGCTGGAGCCTGTGCATGAGGGTCGATCCCGGTCTCTCCAGCTTCTGCTTCCGTGGCCACCTGGCACCAGGTGCTACTCCCAGCATGGCCGCGGTCGGAGGTGCCCAGAGCCTCGAGCCACCGGGGTCTGTGGGCTGCTGACCTGGGCAGAGCTCACTTGACTCCTGTGTCTTTCTGTGGGGCTGTTACTGCAGGAAGCCGTCAAACAGGTTATGTCCACGGTGTGCCGGAAGACACTTATGCGCAAGATGTTTTGTGATGAAATAGTCACTAAATATCTTCGTGCCATCACCCAGGGTATCCTGAATGACAAATCCCCCCAGGAAATCTGTGTGAAAATCAGGATGTGCAGACCAGAAATAGGTGAGCGCAGAGGGGGCGGCAGGGACTCCTTGGTGGAGGGCCAGGTCACATCCCAGCACATGCTGTGTTTCTCACAGGCCATCCTGAGGGGACAGCAGGTCTCCTCCGTCCGTGGTCGGCTGGGCACTTGAACAAGTAGCTTCACCTCTGGGAGCCTGAGTTTGCTTACCTGTGAAGGGACAATAATCCCTATTTCTTCTTCTTCTCTTTTTACTATGAATCATTTTTCTTTAATTTTTAAATTTAAATTCAATGAATTAACATACAATGTATAATTTTTTTCAGGGGTACTGGTCTGTGATTCATCAGTCTTATATAATACCCAGTGCTCATAACAATCCCTATTTCCTATTTCAAATAAGGATTGAATGGGATGATTATGCATAAGGAGGTTGACACCAGGGAAGTGGTCTCAGACCAGGATACTCATAGACCTCGGTCGGAGCCCTGAGTGATCTCCCTTCCCCAGTCCAGCAGGGGCTCCGGGGGCCGGGGTCCAAGCACCACCTTTGCCCAGGACATTCAGGGCCTGAGAGCTGGGCTCAGGAACCCCCTGGCAGGAAGTGTCTGCAGTCTTTTCCTCCAGGGCTGCTCAGGACGTGCCCACAGTCAGGCCAGGGCTGCAGGCCATGGGGCAGGGAAGGGCTCCGTGAGATGCTCTGGCAGCTCGTCTAGCCTTGGCTGAGGCTTTGGGACTTGATGCTGGCAGATCTGACTCACCCTGTACAGTGAGCTCCCCACCATTTCGTGTCACGGAGCCTATGGTTTTCATCTCCAAAGCCCCACAACCCGCTCAGGCTCCCGACTGGGTTCCAGGATGTAACTCTGGGCATGTTCAGTAGGGGCAGGTGGCTCTGAGTCCCCATGTGCCCCGGAGACCCCACACACCTGCCCACAGCAGACTCTTCTCTCCACTCCAGGTCTCGGGGCCTCCGGGGCCTTACCCTACCCTGGGAAGAAGCACAGACTCTTCAGCAACCATCGCCGCTTCCTGCCTTTCTAAATGCAGCGCGGACCCTCCAGTTTCCCTCAGGGAACTCTTTGCAGCGCCTTCCCCTGGCAGAGAATAAATGTCATGCAAGCTTGTAGGCACAGCTTCTGTTCCTTTGGTGGATTTGAGGGGAGGGCCTCAGAGGCATGCTTGGGGGGACTCACGCACTCTTTCAGGAAATGTTTATTGTATGTGTCCCGCTCTGTTCTAGAGGCTAGGGATTTCGTGGTGAACCAGACGTTAGCAGCTCTTACACAGATGGTCCTGAAATACTTACGAAGCACTCACTAGAGCCTGGGGTACACAGTGAATATACCCCCAGAAGCTCTCAGACCCGCGGGGCAGAGCAGCAGGGTTGTAGTTAGGAGGCCCTTTGGTCATCGGGAACAGAAGAAACCCATCTTTTGTTTTTCTCTGCAGGGAGTCCTTTTTTTTCTGTTTTGGGGGAGTGTATTACTTAGGGATCTTTTGGTTGTGAGCAACAGGAATATTACCTTATCTGGTTTAAATTAAAAAAGGCAATTTATTGGCTGAAAAAATTAAGCAGTCCATAGATAGCATTAGGCATAGACTGATCCTGCAATTTGTGGGGTCACCAGAACTCCAGTCCTGTAGCTCAGTCTTTCTCCTAGTTTCTCCCACCGCTGTATATGGAGATTGACCTCAGGCTAGCCTCCTTCTGGGCAGCAGCAATGACCACATCAGGTCCACCCTTTACATTTTATACTACGTGATCAAGAAGGAAAGAGAGTTCTTTGGTAGCCTCTCTCCAGTGGATCCTTTGGAAGAGGGTGGAAGCTTCGTTCCTAGAAGTCCGCTCAGACATCTCCTGTGTTCTCATTAGCCATCTAGAACCAAGCAGTATGTTCCAGGGGCATGGGCTACACTGATTAGCATAAGCCAAGTCAGGCACAGCCCTCCAGTTGAGGAAGGGTTTAAAGTTCCCAATGACTTGGGTGAGAATGGACATGAATACCTGGGTGGAGATCATTCTGGGAGAGGGAAAGGCATGCCAGCCTTCACAAGGAGCAATGGTGCATTGGTCCAGGCTCAATCATAATAGCAATTCAAGGACTCCCAGTGGTGAAATCTGGAGCCACTTGTGTTTCAAAATCGATAGAGACAATGTCAGATTATAACCCATTGAGTAAATTAGAATCCGTGAATTCATAGAGATATTAATAATAAATTAATAATCAAGAAAAGGAAAGCTTTACCTTACTGTAGATGCCAACTAATACAAGTAGACATAGCTGCAAAATATTTTCTCACAGAATATATACTCACTTGATATGTGTGAATTCAGCAGGCATGGACAGTAAAGAACTGGAGGGAAGTGAGGCCGAGCTGGAGGCCATGTGAAGTTGGGGGGCGGGGTGTGTTTCAGGTGCGTCCATGCGGGTGAGAGTGGTCCCAGCAGAGGAGAGAGGCTGATGGTGCAGGACGGAACCGAGGAACAGCCTCAGGGGAGGCCTTGAGAAGGGAGAGGATGGGTCCAGGGCATGGTGCAGGGACTTCTAGAGGTGGGAGCATAAGAAGGTGGCCTCAGCCTGGGGGTAGAAGCTAGCAAAGGACAGAGACCAAGCTGGCTCTGGTCCCCTGTCAGGAGGGGGCCTGAGGGCACTGATGTCATAACATAGACTTGGGGGGGGCACCTGCTCTCTTTCACAGGCAGTTCTCTTTTCTGCTCTTTCTTTCCCTTCTAATGGGTCATTCTTTCTTACTCATTTGTATCTTGCAATTCTGGGGGGGAATATTTTAGATAACATTGTGGCAAATCTGGCTATCGGTCACCGCACCCCCACCTTGCCATTGCTATTGGCCGGTTTACTTGTTTAGTGCCTGCAGAGTTAATTTGAGCAGCAGCCCATCACTGCCTCTCAGGGGAGGCCTCTGATGGTGCCTGTCGGGGGGAATGGGCTTGAGCTTGCCCACAACTAGCCTGTGTAGACAGGTGTTTGGGCAGGGCTCTCTGTCCTGTTCTCTTAACACCCGCCGTTAAGTCCCACAGCACCGGCTGCTTACTGTATTGTTTTCAACATGGCTCAGGGAATAAATTCTTTCTGGTGGAATTCAATCAAAGCAAAGTGTCTTTGTAAAGATAGTGCCTGAGGTCAGCGTTAGAGATGTGTTTTGACCAGGAGGGCCTTTACTGTTGCCTCTTTCCCCATTTCTCTCCAGCAAATTAGCCTGCCTATGGTTTAGCCTATATTTTTAAGGAAACTATCAATCTCCTAACAAATGTCTTTCACCATGACCTCCACTGTTTTTGGGAGCTCCCGGACGCTTGCAGCTCCCTACAATCTGTTGCAAATGGAGTCAGTTCTTTTAGGGAGGAGCGGAGCGCTCTGTTGGTGGCCTGCTTCTCCCTCCTGGGGGAATCTTAAAGCCAAGGCTCTGTGCTGTGGGTGGGGACAACGGATGCAGGCTGGCTGGGTCCGAGGACCCGGAACAGGTCCTGCAGGACCAGCCAAGAAAGTCCTTGGCTTCAGGCAGGATGGAAATCAATCTCAAGCTGAGAGGAAGTAGGCACAGAGTTTATTGAAGACGGAGCATCTTGGAGACTCAGAAAGAAAGGAACATGAGTCTTGTCTTTACTTGGGATCTGGGGTTTTTATTGCAGATGGTGGTCTGGTGTACTGTGTTCCTAGGCATCCTGGAACTGGTCAAAACAAAGAGGAGTGTTTAGGTGTTCTCCGACAGCCTCCCACCCCCATCACTTCTTAGATGTTAGCTATTGTGCTAGAAGACTCTATAAAGAAATCATTAAGTCCTTGACATTTACAAGGAGGACATGCATTACCTGAACTATAGGCATGCATAGGGCAGCAGCTTAGGTCCTAGCAAGAACAGAGGCAGCAAGAGCCTTTCATGGGGTCCCTTCGGTTTCCCTGTCTCACAATGACGCACTTCTCTCTGAGTGACACCCCTGCTCCAGTAGCTGAGTGCTTAGTGCTTCCGGAGGCAGCAGCCCAGGCCTCCTCGGCTTGCCTCTCCTGGTGGGAATTCCTTGCCCATGAGCTTTCCACGAGGAAATGGTGGGTCCAGTATCCTCGGCCCTGCCATGCTCCATGCAGAGCCTCAGTCCCACCTATAGGGTCTGAGCAGAAGACAGCCCCCACCTCTTAGGTGCCCTTGCCTGAGACTTGGTCTCAGCAACAGGTAGCTGGGGGCAGAATGGCAAGTGCTTGTTTGTCTCTGCCAGGAAGATAGCCTGATGGCTGGGTTCTGGGAGGACAGAGAGGCCTGGGTTCTTGTCTGTACCAGACAGGAGTGGAGTTTCCATCTCGCTGAGCTGCGAGGGGAGCGAGAAGGTAGGTCTTGGTTCAAATACCACAGACTCCATGTAGTTCTTCCTGAGTTTTAGTAGATTTTCTTGAATAAATCTTTCTTCGTTTGCTCTATGCACTTAGTCAGATTCCAGAGAATTTAGATGGTTGTTTTAAAAACAATTTTCACCGGTTCCACTGGGTCATGGGTCCACGGAGCATCTCACACTATTATGCCAGATGTGGACCTGCCTTGATGTTTTCTTTCTTTCTTTTAAGACTTTATTTATTTATTTGAGAGACAGCGAGAGAGGGAACACAAGCAGGGGGAGTGGGAGAGGGCGAAGCAGGCTTCCCGCTGAGCAGGGAGCCCAATGCGGGGCTCGATCCCAGGACCCTGGGATCATGACCTGAGCCGAAGGCAGCCGCTTAACGACTGAGCCACCCAGGCGCCCCTGCACTGATGTTTTCTTTTGACAAGTGTAACCGCAGAGAAACCAGAGAAGCCTGGCCATACAGCTTCGAATGTGTGTTGACTGTACAACTTCGAACCCAAGTTGGTTGTTTAGTGTTTAGTGGCCTGATGCATTCGAAACCACATAAAAGCATAAAGTTGAACAAAAATCAAAATGGCTGCACTAATGCTTCAGGGAAGCTGGATTTTAAACTGTCACCTTTTTCCTCTTTTGCAAACCTCCCCTCCTCCCTTCTTAGCCTTTTGTTTCAGGAACCTGGTACCACCCTGAAGACATGATGAACCAGGCTGGCGGCATGCACACGATTCCTGTCAAAACCAGCTAGATCCTGTATTTCCCTATTAACTCCACCCCCCCCAGCCCCTTCAGGTGGGCTTGCAGGTTTTTTTTTTAACAGATTTCTTTTTTTTTTTTAAGATTTTATTTATTTATTCATGAGAGAGAGAGGGAGAGAGAGAGAGAGAGAAGCAGAGGGAGAAGCAGGCTCCCAAGGAGCAGGGAGCCCGATGCGGGACTCGATCCCAGGACCCTGGGATCATGACCGGAGCCGAAGGCAGACGCTTAACCATCTGAGCCACCCAGGCACCCGGGCTTGCAGTTTTGAAGGCCAGAGCCTGCTGCAGCCTCCTTTGCCTGGCAAAGCAATATAGCTATTGTTCCTCTTTACCCTAAACTCTGTCTTTGCTTCGCTATTTCGGCCGCAGAGCACAGAGGTTGGTTTTTGCCATACAATGGCAAGTCAGGATCACAGCAATGTGGGGTAACTACGTTTCCAATTCTAGGTGCTTCCCACATATTGACCTGGAAGCCAGTTTTACAAATGTGGAGGCTGAAGCACAGAGAGATGAAAGGACACGTGGAAGGTCCAATAGCCTTGACAGATTTGGGATTTGAACCTAGGCAGTTGCGTCTGTATCTCCACACAATCCTGCCTTTCTCCAAGGGATAGGGGTTTGAGTTCCATTTGTTAAAAAAGAGACAGCAGGCCCACATCACCCAGCCAAGACTTACTACCTCATTTAATTCCAGTTTTAACTTCTCCCGGGAGTGGAAACTTAAACCAGTCAGTCTGGAATTGGCTGGTCAGCACTACTGAGGTTGTCCACCTGAGAGACCCCTGCCATCGCCCAAAGGAAAGTGACCTCGCCTAAAGCAATCCACTCTTTGCTAGTGACTTCTTTGTCCTGCCCCCTTCTACCTATAAAAGTCTTTTATTTCATACACCTCTATGGAGCTCCTTTCTGTCTGCTAGATGGGATGCTGATTCATGAATTGTTGAATAAAACCAAGAAGATCTTTTTTTTTTTTAAATAGTTGCAGAGGTAGAATTTAGTGATTCATCAGTTGCATAGAACACCCAGTGCTCATTACCTCAAGTGCCCTCCTTAATGCCTGTCACCCAGTTACCCCATCCCCCCACCCACCTCCCCTCCAGCAACCCTGCTTATTTCCTAGAGTTAAGAGTCTCTTATGGTTTGTCTCCCTCTCTGATTTTTGTCTTATCTTTTTTTTTCTCTTTCCCTATGTTCATCTCTTTTGTTTCTTAAATTCCAAATATGAGTGAAATCATATGGTGTTTGTCTTTCTCTGACTGACTTATTTTGCTCAGCATAATACACTCTAGTTCCCTCCATGTTGTTGCAAATGTCAAGATTTCATTCTTTTGGATGGCTGTGTAATATTCCACTGCATATACATACCACATATTCTTTATCTATTCATCTGCCAATGGCCATCTGGGCTCTTTCCATATTTTGGGAAAGCCAGCAAGATCTTTCACATTTACTTGGTTGAATTTTGTTTTTTCACACCTTATAACTTGGGGTAAATGTCTATCATAGTAAGTAAGCAGGGCACACATCCCTCAGGGACAGCAAGACTGGAAGGCTCTGCATACAACTGCAAATGCTCAGGGACAGGAAAACAAAGTGGACCAAGTCGATCATTTCCTCCCTCCTCTGATGCAGTGAGCTTGACCCTGCCCTGCTGCCAACACAAATCTGAGGAATGATACAATAGAGAGGAGGTAACCATTAGGCGTTTCTTGTAAGTTGAATAAGCACTTGAAATTCCACCCCTCCCATCCCTTTCATAACAGGTGGCGTAACTTTGTCAGGTAAACTCAGGTTTTCCATGTTCTCATCAGAAGTTGCCACCTGGCAGATGGCTAGGTTTAGCTAATTATATAAACGACTTCTCCCCCTCCCCCTTCTTCCTCCTTCTCCTCCCTCTTCTCTCTTTGTTAAGAATCTTGGGAAGTTCATTCCCCTGGGGTAGAAGGGTCACATGTGGCCTTGGATCCCATGTTGGACTTCCCTAGGGAGGAGAAATGGGAATTCTTTTTTTTTTTTAAAGATTTTATTTATTTATTTGAGAGAGAGAGAGAGAGAAACAGCATGAGAGGGGGGAGGGTCAGAGGGAGAAGCAGGCTCCCCGCCGAGCCAGGAGCCTGATGTGGGACTCGATCCCAGGACTCCGGGATCATGACCTGAGCCGAAGGCAGTCGCTTAACCAACTGAACCACCCAGGTGCCCAGAAATGGGCATCTTTAGGATGAGCTGGTGTATCAACCGAGTTCATTAATGGTAAGCAATTGAAACTAGCTCAGGCTGATTTAAGAGCTGGGAAGTGAGGGGACAAACATGGGTGCCACAGGGTGGGAGGGAAGGCCTGGAACTGAGCTTGAAGACAGGAGCCACGCAGCTCAGAGGATCTTGGAAGTAGGAACAGCACCCATCGGTCTTGCCCAGGTGCAGTCACTGGGAGGAATGAACTTCCATTCGTTTGCCCTTGGGTTTTTTGCTGCAAAGCCAAATTCCTAGGAAAGAGAGTCCAATTGGCCAAACTTGGATCAGACACCTGCCTTTGGTTGTTCTAAGGTGATGAAAGAGAAGTCAGCAGCAGGAGATTTGAAGGAACTTTTTGGCTAATGAATTGGGGGGGATGGATCCCTGGGTGGATTACTGTCCACCAAGACTGTACACAGTAGGTGCCAGATAATTCCCCAAAGGAAATTAGAGTTATGTCAGAAAGAGGAGTAGATGCTGTATGGCCAAACCATGTCAAATGTCCAGCCTGCCTTGTAATGACAGGAGGGTGCTGTCCCTGTGGTACTGCCAAATAGAAAGACGTGTCACTAATGGAAATCAAATACTGCAGATTCCTGGTTCTGGGGGGCTTGGCTGCCCTTAAGTAAGATGTGCTTTCGTATATACTCTGGCTGAGAACCTTGGAGTTTACTCAACAGACATCCAGAGTGCTGCCTGTGAACCAGCAGGAGATGGATCCTTTTTTTTTTTTTAAAGATTTTATTTATTTATCTGACAGAGAGACACAGCGAGAGAGGGAGCACAAGCAGGGGGAGTGGGAGAGGGAGAAGCAGGCTTCCCACCGAGCAGGGAGCCCGACGAGGGGCTCGATCCCAGGACCCGGAAATCATGACCCGGGCCGAAGGCAGACGCTTAATGACTGAGCCATCCAGGCGTCCCAGGAGATGGTTCTCATCCTGGGGGCAGTGCTCTCAACCTTGACTTTAGGGCACAATGTGAGTGAAGGTTTCAGTTGAGGGACCCACGGATGTGTTACTTCTTAGAGCTGAGGTCCCAGAATTTGTGGATTATTTATTAGAAGAAAAAAAAAGCTTTGGGGTACCTGGCCGGCTCATTCGGTGGAGCACAGGACTCTTGATCTTGGGGTTGTGAGTTTGAGCCCCATGTTGGGCATAGAGATTATTATTTAAATAAATAAAAATAAACTAAATTTTTAAAAAAGCTTCAAGATTAACTCTAAAATAATGACACTGTATATGATATGATGTGTTGAGTGGAAAGAAAGGTGAAGCGTGCTGGCAGAAATGCTGGGAACATCCTCAGAGATGTGTTGGGCTTGTGAACATCACGGTCATGTGGCTGAGTGGGACGGATACTGTTTCCATTTTATAGACATTCAAGCCCTGGACCCACCCTCTTCCGTATGTACCAGCTTCATTTGTTGAAGGAAGGCATTTTTTAGGGAATAAAGATTGGGCCTCTCCAGGATCGACCACCTACCCTGAAGGACTCCCAGAGTAAAGAATTCTCTGCTTACCTGCCTGGAACTACCAGCTGGGAAAAGAAAGGCTCAGGGAGCCCAGTCATCTAACCCCTGGGGAGCCAAGGTGCTCAGGACCCTAGTCCAGCATCCTGTCAATCAAGTTTTTCCCCCAATATTCTTTTTTTTAATTGAATACAATTTACATACAATGAAATGCACAGATCTTAAGTGCTCTGTTAGGTGAGTTTTGACACTGTCTGTACCAAGTATCCACCATCCCTATCAAGCATAGAATAATTCTATCACCTTAGAGAGTCACTTCCCTCCTGCCACTTGGTAGTTAGTAACCAAGCCTCAGAGAGAACTTCTCCCAGAAGCAGAAACACTGTCTGTGGGGCCCATCTTCCTCTCCGGCAACACCCCTCAGGGGACAGAGCCCCACTGAAGTTCTCAGGCTTCCTCAGGTCCAGTCTTGGCCCGGGGTGGGGGGTCCATCCAAATGGCTCGAGCCCCAGCCTGTGGCCCGGGGCACAGCTCAAGGACCCAGATGGGCATGGGTTTCATTCGGCTGCGGCTCTGCTTCTGGCTTCCTCACCTGACACAGGCGACCAATGGTCTTGCCTTAGAGACGCCTGTGATGCCCTGATGAGATAAACCACATGTGTGCCTCGATTTGTGCTGAGAGGGCGGGGCACTGCCTATAAATTTCAGGCAGATGATGAGGTGATCAGAATTGTAATTGTCTATAGTTCAGAGGACAATTCTCGTCTGCAGGCTGTACCCCAGGGAGAAGTTGGAGCCTTCAGCTTGCCTTGCTGCAGACTCAGCCCCTGTTCTAGCAGCTGGGCTACTACCCTGTTCCCCCATTCCTGGAACCCCGAGCATAGAGGGGGCCTCCTGTCCTGCAGAACAAGATTCATCCCACATGCTTGTCTTGTTTCTGCCTTAGATGCCATGACTGCTCCTGGTGTCCTCCTGAGGACCAGCTACTCACTGTGTCCTCAGAATTGTTGGATGCCTCTCCTCTACCGCCAGGTCATTCCCGCCCAAGGATATGCTTTCGGTGGGAGTGGAGGTGATGCTCAAGGAGAGCACCCAGGCAGTGGCTCTCTCTTCAGCTCAGTCCAGGCCCTACAAGCTGGGTGCTCACATGCAGAGGCCAAGGGTGGGGAGGGGTATGAACTCCTGGCGGGTGGGACCCCAGGCGAGGGGGCAGGGTGGGAGTGTGCGTCGGTCCAGGGATCTGAGGCTCAGTCAGCTGCTTTGAAAGTGGACTTGAAGTAGCCCAATGTA